TATTGGTCTCGAATACAATGAATAACTTAAAGAGTGCCATGAATGACTTCGCTTTGTAGTAGTTAGAACATAGTTGAAAGATGCCCGAAGCCATCTTTAACTATGTTCTAACTGTTGAAGAGTATTTTTTGCTCTGAGGGAAAGATGCCAGAAAATTGTGAAAGAGCCCGGAAAAATGCGCGAAACTATGCTTATGATTTTTTTTTTTCATTCATGCGTTCTAATATTTCATTTTTCATTCATGCCTTGTCGTGAAATAACATTTGTGAAAGAGCAAAAACATACTCTTCTTGATTTCTGGTAGCATTAAAATATCCTCTTTTTTAAAATTTAAAATAAAATAAGGGTTTAACTTGAGTAGAAATTCAAAATACGGCTTTTGAAATGGCTTGTATGCTGAAACAGTTTTATTATGTATAACGTAGTCTCAATAAAAATTAATTTTGGGCCTCAAAACTTGAGTCAATATCTTGTGGTTCCTGTTCATAGCGCTTTGTCAAGCCAGACAACCTTTTTGATTTAAAATGGACTTATTTATTTAAATTTTTTTTAATTTTGTTCATTTTGAGTCTTGACTTCCATGCCAATGTTTTTTGGAAAATGAGAACAATTTTGGGAATTATAATCTCAAAATTTATTTCATTATAATCTCAAAGAGTTTGAGAATTATAAATGACTGACCTATTAAGCCAGGAAAAAAGTTTCGAAAATAAAAAACACACCTGAAGACAGTTTCTCCCGACTTTCAGTGTTTGGAGCATTAACAAAAAGGCATGCGTGTTTTTGGCTAAAGGCGGGTTACTAACATGTAAATTATGAAAATCAAATCTGTTAGTTTATTCATCTTAAAAATTTTATTTCTCTGTGATAAGTTTCTGATAGTTTTTGTAAAAGAGACAATTATTCAGAACAGTCCTTCGTTATCAGAAATGGGGGAGCGCAAGGAAGGATAGTAAGGCGTCGCTTTGTTTCTAAAATGCCTCATTGTGTCCCCAAGTTGTTATGATTGAATATTATGGCTCTAACGTCAATCCAGTTTTGCAAAATTTCTTTTTGGTATATGCTTCTACTTCCTACGCGATCTTTGTACTCCTCATATGATAAAAAACTCGTCTGATTTTTTTCAAAACAAAATTATAAAAGCATTCAGAATATTTTAATAATGGTAAGTTTTTAACAGTCCACGAGGTGCATGTGTATGAACACCTCCAACTTGTTTTGCTATCAATATCAGGACTACGTTCTTTTTTCATTTAATGTATCGTCGGATATGACCAGAAGTTCAACCTTCAATTTAATGAAAAATCCGAAATTCAAAAGCAAAGTTAAAAGAGCATCAGTTGGTTATAGAGGAGCTAAGCTCTTTAAATGGCGTTGACAAAATTCCTTAATTTCAAAAGTTTTCGAACAAAATTCTAATTTGGATATTCATTGCCTCGCGCAAAAAAGACGTAATTTGCTTATATTAAGCAATGAAGTGCTGATCAAATTTGTTGTGCTGATCAAATTTGTTTTTCTTTGTTCACATATTTTACCCAAATATACGGATAGTTCTTGAAATTGACAGATGTGAATCGCTTGCAGGTAAGTCGTACAAATAGTTGAAAATGGGTTTCAAAGCGTCTTAGGCGTTTTGGAAGCCACACTTAAAAGGCTTGGTTGCTGGTTACTGCCGCATGGGCTCAGTTAGGTGTCTGCTGACCGTTAAGCGCCCAACTAGTTCTACTGATGTTAGAGAGGCTTGAAGGGAGGGATGGGACATAGTCAGCATAAGCAGTAAACCTCAAGTCAACAAGTTCAAATTTTGTTTATGATACCGAATAGGGGCGCCTACTGTTTCTGGTGCTGCATGTTATAATTTTTGTTTGCATCTTTACCATTAACAAAGAGAAATAAGTTTTTCTACGGCAAGCAATGGCCACTTTTCCGTTGCTAACCTCTATGCTACCATACTAAGCAGTAGTATGTATATAGTGCGTTAGGATCGGGGGGGGGGGGGTTGTCATACATGGATGACCATTAGGTATAAATCATAATGGTCACCATGTATTAAATGATCAGCAATGGTCACCATGTAATAATCCTAATTGTCACCATGTATAATTTTATACCTAATAGTCCTCATGTAAAACTTCGGTATATTATTGAGTATTCCCACTGAACGTTGTGGTTACATGTTTGGTGCGGGAAAGGATTTGCCAAATCTTCGTTCTGAAACCAGCTGGAGTGTTTAACTGCGCTATAGACTGTTTGCTCAATTCTTCTTAAAACTTTGATTCAAACTCAAATTACATACAAATACATACAAAAGTATGCTAAAGACACTATCGCTTAAATGAAATTGTTTATATCCCAGATTAATTGAGTTCCAAAGCTGAACAAAATCTCGCACTTAAATACACACTAAACACGGAATAGCGGTAGGTCAAATTTTATGTACAGACAATTCTCATATTAAATAACTGAATTTTATTTACTATACAAAAGTTAATGTGGTGTTTTTTTGTGTTTTAATCTATTCGTCGATTTTTTGACCGTGGTTCTTCTACTTCAACTGCTTCATAATCGAAAAACGAATCGTTGAAGAATGACGACTCGTCCTCATCGGAAGTATTGGCCTCCAGATCCGCGATATCCCCGCTATCAATATCACTGTCGTTGGTTTCTGCTGCCCGAATCAGACCGGGGTCTGGAGTTTGCCAACTGCTATTGACCTGGTCCATCAGTTGTCGAAGCGAGCGATGTGGTTGTGTGTTCTCAACAGCAAAACTATCCTCAAAGTATTCATCATCAATTTCCGGATGGTCCCAATCAACGTTTTGAGTGTTAGCGAATTCTTCAGACACCCCATCTAGGAAATCGTCACAATCCCACGACCCTGGCTGTTGACGATCTTCAAAAAATGGCATCCATTTTTCCAAATCGTCATCGTCAGTTGGGTCAGAATTAACAGCGGCTGTGTTGTCATCACTATCATCAAAGCCAATCACAGTTTGACCCACGATGTTTTTGTGACCGTAGGGAAGAGTCTGCTGACCATCGTCGAGGATGTAGCGTTTGTCATCAAAAGCTGATAACGATGTTTTCGTCGAAGTCACTGTTTGCAGATTGTGTGACTCGGATGCGATTCGACTGTTTTCAGTTTTGAATAACGAGCCAGAGGTCAAGGTGTCTCGATATCGCTGATGACTCAACATCTTCTGAGCAGCTTTGGATACACCTTTCGCCGATAATTTTCTGCAGTCTGAAATTTTATTTATATGATTACTAATCAATTTTTTGATGATCACTAATGTGTGGTGGTAAAAAAACCAAATACGATGTTTTTTTACGAGCTACATCATGTTAACTTGAAGGCCAGGTGCAACAAAAAAAAATACATGAAGGTCAGGTGTGACCTTAAAAATTTGTCATCATTAAAAAAAAAAACAACAATCAACCAACACAAAAAAAAATCCCCGACAAAAAAATTTTTAAAAAAAAAATTTTTCGCCCACAAAAAAAAAAAAAAAAAAAAAAATCGCCCACAAAAAAAAACCAAAAATTTTCAAAAAAATTTTTTTTTTTCGCCTAAAAAGTTTTTTCCAATTTTTTTTCAAAACAAAAAAAACACTTTTTCGCCCGAAATTTTTTTTCGAACAAAAAAAATTTTTTTCCCACAAATAAAAATTGCCTTCCGAAAAAAAAATCACAAAAAATCAAAATTTTTTGAAATTCGTGCTCACAAATAAGGCAAATAGAAATTAATTACCTCTGGACAAAATGGAATAAAGCTTGGGTTTGAGGGATATAAACTCGGTTATAATGTCTCCTGGAAACTCATCCTTGAATTTTAAAACAACCATTTTGTTTTTCGGGTCGTAGAGAGGGTGGTTCTTCGGGTAATTTGACAAGTCAAGTTCATTCAAAATATTCCTTTTTTCGGAAATTTCTCGGTATAAATCTTCACTTTTGACTTGGTACAGGAGAGTGTCTATATCAGAATACAATAGTTGACATTCAAAATTTGGTTTCATTATATCGTAATGAAATTTATACATGTGAAACTTTGCTAACTCAAGAACAATAGCTCCCACAATTGTTGGGACATCCCAATAGATTTTTGTTGGATTCGAATTGAACGCTGCCAAGTTTTCTCCAAAAATTTTGTAGGGTTTAAATTCGAATGCACTAATTTCTCGCAAAGCGGCATGATAATCTCTAACTATCCGAACAAGCATCCGTTTGCGCTTCGACTCGCATGTTTTCCCATAAGCACAATTGTTCAGTAGTTTGTACAAATCCTCCTCAAAATTATTTCTAGCTTGTTGTCGTTTAGTCGTGTTCAATGTGATGTATGGTTCTAACCATGCTTCTTGTTCAAACTTCAGCACACGGTGCACTTTTTTAACTTTAAGTCCCAACCTAACAAACAATTGCAATAGTTTGTAATGAATTGTATAATTTGACTTGTCATGCAGCGTCTGCAGTAACTTTTTGGTCTTTCCAATTGAACGTCTTGCAATGTCTTGATTTTTCATCTGCTCGAGTAAATTTGTTTGGTAGGGACTCAACCAATCCTGGGGTACACTTTCTTTAGTAGGAGCTAAAGGGTAATCTTGATGATCCTCATGCAGTTCTTCTGGATACTCGAGATCAACTTCCAATATAAATCCAATCAAAGAGTCTTCAGTCATGTTGAGGATTTGGTTCACAATCACCTCGTCTTCTATATGCTCTATTAGCTCAAAGTTACGCACCGGTAATTTCTCCGTTTGCATGACGCCGCCATAGAGGTTATTTGCATCGATCATAAACCCGTAGGTGCTAGATTGATCTGGGTTGAAGTCGGGGCATTCTTTGTTGTTGGCTTTGAAAAAGCGACTATGGAACACGGATGCAGTACCACCTCGCATCATATTCTCGACCATTTCGAGATGCCTGCGGTCTGATAAAAGCTGAACATTCGAGTCTTTGCAGATACGTTTGAAGGCGTCTCCAGCTAAGTTTGAAGCACTAAAATGGTGCGCGCAGTCCAGACCATAAGTTTGGTGACTAATTTGTCGAAATTCTTCAAAGACGCAAGCAAGAAGGAGTGTATCACACTTGAGATACAAGTTGTGATAATCCTCCAAGTTTTGACATTTGAACACTCTAAAAACATTCTTTGCATGTTCCAGATCCGCTTGTGAAACTGCAACTTTTCCTCCATTCAAAACATCGGACCAATTTTGCAAAGGAGGCAATTCTTTTTCTGCAAATTTTTCTCTTCCGGTCATGTACGAATAAGGGTAGAAACCTTTTTGTCGTATCAGACACCGTTGCTCCTCCGTCTCGTTTGCAAAATACTTGTTCAAAATTGACATTTTTTCCGCTGGTAGATTATCAACCAATTTTTGCAGGGAAGAATTCAAAAACTTGCATGAGTCAAAAACTTTTTGCTCAGATCCGTTTTTCCTTTTTATAATTTTAATTAGGACTCCAATGCTTAACGATATATATTTTTCGTCGGTGCTAGGTATAACACTCATTGTACTTGTTGGCTCGCATTCATGCAATGCGAGACAAATGTGGTGAAGGTCATAGTTCTGGATGTTATGTCCAATGACTGGGGTGAAATTTACAGTTCGTCTTGCGAGGTTGCATTTTTCATGTGCCCATCCCAAAAATTTTCCAGAAAAATGGCAATGGTCAAGACATTTTTCGTGCTCATTGGTAAAATGTATACAGCAAATCCAACATGTTGATGTGTTTTCTTTGTTCAACGATTCTTGGCTTTCTAGAAATTGAGGAAACCGTCGCTTTTGATCATATATCTCTCGCTAATTGATGCAACTGATTGAGAAACTTTTTCATGCATTGATCAGAGCTGTCATAGTCAAAGAAGTAGGGCTGTGAATTTCCGTGTTCAATTACAGCCAATGAATACCCACAAGCTTCGTGTTTTTGTACAACTCGGGTAGATGATCGCGATGGATTATCAGGACAAGAATCTACAGGTTTCAGAAATGATTCAAAATCAAAATAAATCACAAGTGGTACAAACCACAAGGCCTGGAGGTTTTTGAACTCGTATCTGTTGGTACCTTTTTCTGCTGAAGGCATGACTACTAGAGCAGGTTCATGATCCTTACAACACTGGATGTGTTGCTCGTGAGTTTCATCACTCCAACTAATGTGAAAGCAGTTTCTACATAAACGTGCAATTGGGCGATACTTACACCCTTTGATTTCGCAGATGAACTTTAACAAATCGATTATAAGTACATAGTGATGCTTTGCAGGCTCATACAAGAGAAGCAGGTCCATGTCAAATATTTCAGTTTGGGTGCTGTTATCTTGGTTTGGTCGTTTTGATATATACATAGGCAACAAATCTCCCTTGTGGTACTGGAACACATTTACCCGCACGTCGTTAAGTTGTTCAAATTTTCCAATTGAAGCGAAACTCATGGGTGAATAAAAATTACCTTGGGATTTGTGTGCACTTTCAGCAGTGTATGTATCAGGTTGTGTCCGCGCAGCTGCTGGGTTCGCTTTTTGTTGATCAGTTAGAAGTAGGTCAACACCATGCTTCAGACTATAAGCAGCGGTAAAGCAAAGTTCGAAGCAATTATTATCTTCGTGATTTCTAATGTTTATCAAATTCTGGGACATTCGAATTCGAAAAGGCAAGTCAATATAAGATGACCCACGGATTGGTGAATTACGTGTTGCAAGACCCAACCGCTTCCATAAGATGCAAAAGTCTCCAAAACTGCTTGCATTTTTTCGACCATTTCAAAAAACTCATCATCTTCTAATCCTAAGCTCATCACAGGTTTCATATCAGAGTTTGCATAAATGTCAATCCGCTCGTCGTTCTCAGTTTTACTAGAATCATTTATTACTTTAGGTTTTACCAAACCTAAATTAGCGCTGAACTGAACTTTTCTAGGTCCTTCTGCAACTCGATCGATTATGAGACTTTGAATTTCATCTTTTTTCTCTTGCATTAGTTGCAAAAGGTCAATCGGCTGATTTTCATCCATGGGTTGGTTTCCGCCGCTCACATACGTTTCAAGAACACCGAAAAAAGCAGACTCACTTTTTTGAAGATTGGTGCCGTTGATTTCGTCTTCATCGACAGCATGCACATCACCGAGAGCAGCATTAGCAGCGGCACTTGTAGTGGCTTAATCAGCAGAGGCAGCTCTCATAACAGGAAGACCATGGGTTGCTAGTAAATGAGCTGATAAGTTTTTGGGCGAATGAAATCCCAAATGACAATAATCACAAACACCTCCAAGTTGACCATGAGTGTGAAGAATAAGTTTTTTTGCAAATTTGAAAGCATTTGAGCCGTGAATGAACACTCATTGCATCGATAAACAATAAGTCCTTTTTCAACAAAATGTTTGTCACGCTCATGGCGACTTCTATTGCTCTTATTTGCATATTTCAGTGGACAAAAATTGCATTTGAACATTTTTTGAAATAAGTTAGGCTATTGATTTTAAGAAAGAAAAAGAATCAAGTGATCTCAAATTACACTCAGAAACAACAGTAAATGGGAAGCATAACTGTTCGTATACCAATTGCAGAGAAAACGTGTTTTGTTTTGCGCGCGTAATTTTGAATTTGAATTAAAGTTCCCGCCAAAATTTGAATTAGATTTGAGTTTCCCGCCATAACTGGCAAACTCAAATTCGATTGGACGAAACAGATAAATTGTTGTTTGAAACGTTAATAATTATTACAAATGATAGAACTTAATCTAAGCCAACCAAATTTGGGCTAAATTTTAATCCAAAATGATTTTAGAGCCAAGAGAGAAAAGTTTTAATTTTATATTTTATCAATTCAAAATATAAATTGATGAAAATTTCGAAATTGCGAATAAAAGTTGAGCATGTCACAACACATGATAGATCCTAAATATCCCAGTTGTCATGGGGACAGAATATCATATAAAAATGTCAAAATTAGTATCAAAAACAGTTGAAATGATGAATAAGTAAAGCAAAAACTGAAAAATGACAGTTTTTTAACTTTCCAGGCGCATTGCTATCAATGATGTCAATCACGGAGCGGTTGCATGGTCCATGTCATCATGAATTTGTCTCAATTGTCTTTCGATTTGAAAAAAAAGTCCGAAAAAATACTTTTCTGTAAAGAGAAATGAGTTTGTTGTTTTAGGGGGGATTAAGGGGATTAGCGTTTTTCTCGAAGACTATTGAAAAAACATCTACTCCCACAATCTCATTAGTCGTGCCCCTCAATGCACCTTCATAATAACACCACTTGCTCATAATAAAAAATTGCGTCTTCTGGTTGAAAATCGCCTTTTTTCGGAAAAATGAAAAAACGATGAGTCATCAATTAAAAAGTTTGATTTTTATTATTTTTCTCAAATATTTAGCATGATGATGAATACTTGTATTTTTTTCAATATGATCATTTTTGGAGACAACAGTATCAATGATCAAATGGTAACTCCAATTTGTAGAAAAAGAAAAAAATTAATGCTTTTTTTCCTTTTTGTAATTAAAAAATCAAATTTTTAACTAAAAAACATTTAAAAAATAAGTATTTTTATCAAAAAGTTGGTTTTAAACATCTTTTATGTTATTTTTCATTATGTTTAATTTGTATGATAACTATTTGAATAAACATATGACAACATAAGTTTTCATCCAAAATTATTTTTTTCCTGTTTTTTTTTGACGTTAATTATCTTTTTTCAAAAAACGAAATTCATTTTTTTAATCTTGTTTTCTAAAAATTAGCATATATATGGATGCTTTTCAGTTTTTTCTCAAGATAACTAATGTAAATAAGAACTTCAATGTTAATATGTTAAATCCTAATTGTGGAAAAAATGAAAATTTTACGGATTTTTTTTTGTTTTTAATTGAAAAAAAGTAGTCAATTTATTAAAAATAAATGATTTTTTAAACTTCAATTTTTAAAGGCTTTTGAAATAAATTTTTAATCAGAACCCAATCGTGTGATAATTAATGAACAAATACAAGATACAAACTCAAACTCAATTTTAAAGTTAAATTATTATACACAATAAATACAAACAAAAATCAATAAAACTCAACCTCAGTTTCAAAGTTATATCAGGTCCAAATACTCCTGCGCTTTCTTTAGTGTTGTTAGTTTCCTTTTTTTCTTTGGCGCTAGACAAAGAGAAGGGGTTAAGTTTTCCATGTGGTTGCTCACAGTAGCCTCAGGGGTACGCTTTGGAGTTGAGCAACCCGGTTCGTCAAGCCATGGTGATACTACAGGGGAAGGATCAGCTTTCGGGGTAACTACTGATGGTGATTCAATCTGTTCCATTCCCCATAAACGATCAAAAAATTCAATTTCTTCAAAGTATTCTAACTGGTTTTCACACATCGGAGTAACATCACAATCGTATTTATACAAAATTTTTTTTACTGGTTTTGATAAAGTTGAAATATCAACCTGAAGAGCAAGAGGCTCGTCAGGATCCGTATATTTACCAGAATTTGTAAGGTAACTCAAATACTTTATATTCAGTTCATCGTCTTTCTTTGAAATTTTTAAGGAAAGTTTACTGAATAAATGTAAAAAAATTTTGGGAATCATAACGTGATGAGTACAAGTCCACTCATCAGAATTGAAACTTTTTTCTTCGTTAATTATTGCTACAAAATTACCGTGAACGGTTTCATAAAAAATGGTTCTTTCGTGATTGGAATATCCGGCAATAATATAACAAGGCATTTTTGAAGAAAATTTGGAAGAAAATGACAAACGTAACGCGGAGAGAAATGAAACTGAAATGAATTGTGAAAACGCCTCAAGAGATTAAAATAGAGATTGGTTCTTCTAAAATTAGAAATTTCAAGACCTCCTATGTAGTTTTTAATCAGTTTAATAAGGGAGGGCGTGTAAAATATTTATGTTACCTTGCGTGGTATTCTATGTTTATCTTAATTGCATTCAAACAAATAGCTTGTATCAAAAATAACGTTTAAACATTGTGACCTTTAACACCCATTAAAATTCTTATCAGTTGTACATGCACAAAATACTTATCCTATTGAACTAAATTGCAATCCAATATCTTTGCGATATAAAGTACATGTATATATAAATTAAA